ATTATAGTGTCTTTTTAACTTCAAGAATATGAGTCAAAAGAATTGTTTTGAAATTAATGATAATTTTACTTTCTTGAACTTTTATTGCTTAAAGTAAGTTATTTTAGGAATTTATATAAGAGAGGGCATATCAGTTATAATAGTTCATCTCAAATAATATGATTATTTTCTTCTATAATGATATCTTAATATCTATTTAATAAGAAAATTACAGATTGTAAATTAGCCTTAATATATATGGATAAAACTTTCAAAAATACTTTAAATAGGGTTTATAATAATAATATTATTTTTAATAATATAATAAAAGAATTCGCGGGATTTTCCATTTAATGTTCTAGAAAGATTTACAAATTTATACTAGGAATTAGATTCTCGAATCAATAAAATTGATGAAAGATTAAGATAAGTCAAACTTAGAAACAGAGATTATATAAAAATAGAATATCAAGATGACTGAAGAATCTCTTTTGTTATTTAAAAAAGAATTAGCTAGGAAAATAGTGAAAAAATGATTGGATTATAAGGCAAAGAAATTATACATGATTGATTAATGAGTTTTTCCTTGAATACTTCTTTAAAAAAAAAGAACTTTCTTTTTTTAATATATATTTTTCATAGTATTTTACTTTTATAGATTCTAATTAATCTAGAAAAAAAAGTTATTTATAATAACCAACATCTTTTACAGCAGAAATGTCTCCATTCTTTGATCAACTTCCAACTTTTCTTTAATATCTTAAGCCTTAGATATTTCTTTCATTTTCATATATAGTAAGTCCAACCTATAGAGAGAATCAGAAGGCAAGGGATTTGATTCCAACTCAAGAATATAAGGTCTAAATAAGTGATAATCAGTACTTATGAATTTCAATATCCCAATAAGTAATATTATCAAATTGTAAAATTGAAGTCCATCTACCCTAAATATTGATTTTGTATGTGTCTAAAATTTCTTAAGGTAAAATTTTTAATTTAATGCCTGAATTAGTTTTGTGAGCTTTTAAACATTTTTAAATGCATTCAGGAGTGACTTTACAAACTTTTCCAATAAACTAGTCTATTTTTTAAGAAGAAGAACTAAAGAAACCAGCATTTTTATCTTTAGGATTAAAAGTGATTTCAACTAATAACTAATTGTCTGGCTAAAAACAATAGCTCCGTTTATGACAATTGACACTTCTTTAGCCTAACAAAACACCATAAAGCATAAATGGTTATGCCATATAATAGAATTTGAGATTTGTATTCAAATAATGTATTTAGGAATGGCCTTATTATTCACCAGCTAAACTATTAGTTCCCATGTTAACTAAAGGGCAGAATGCACCAAATAACTTATAATCTCTGCCATACATAATGTAATTAGAAATAGGAGGATGATGAGAAGTTTATTCTAAATAGATAGGACATCCTTTGATTCTACCTTCGAATGTTTCTCCAATTATTGGGTTGAATGGTTTTTCCTATTAAACACCCATCATGAAACTTGATATGTGAAATGCAACAGTTAGTCTTAATTATTCGAAAACATCTGTAGTTTAGGCAGCCTTTTCTAAAAAAACAGGAGCATGTCCTTAAGCTCTGGCCATTCTCTCTAGAAATGATCTAGCTTCAAATACTTAGATAGGTAATGAGACTGACATTAGTGATTTCCCACTCAATAAATTCGATCCCATCCTTTTGATGATATCCAATAAAACACTTCTTTGGTCACTTATTAATTTCTTATTTGTATATATCAATCCTCCTTTTTTTGGATCTACTTCATAGTATTTAGTCAGTAAAAAATGACCATCCTCTTTTGATGTTCCCAAGAATTTGTCTAAGCCAGAAAGAATACTTTGATTAAATTACCTCTAGATTGATTTTTAAATGAAATGTCCTCTCTAAACCAAATCTAATATTTCCATATATTCTTAAGGTGATTATTGTTAGTGCTGTTCTGAAGTTATTCTTGGTACTTCAGGCACTAATTGAATAAAGGATATCTATAAATTATCAATATCATCATCATCATTTTTAATGAGTACGTGTTCAGTCTATTATTTAATATAATGATCAGCTTCGATGATTTGATTATCAATGTTTTCAAAATTGAGAAGAAACCTTTTCATAACTTCTTCTCCTTTTTCTCTGTTTTCACATTCTAAGTATACATCTTCAATAATTTAAGTTTTAAATTTTTCCTCTTGTTGAGCTTAGATAAGAACACAAGATCGTGTGATTTTATATTTATCTGCACCTTCAACTCTATCCTTATCAATTTAATTATGATGAATTTCATTCCCAATATATTTCTTTAGAATACAATATGAGTTTTCATCTATTTAAAAATGCTTTTAGGTGTAAATTAATCTAATTTTTTGATTCGAATTTAGAGAGTGAGACTTTGACTATTTACAAAAGCTCTCTTGTGAAACAAACTCATTTTATTTTAATTGGTTATTGGACAACTTCTAATCCATATCGAATTCTGTGAAGATTATTGCACAATCTTTTTTGGTTGGGTAAACCTAATAAATAGATACTTAAGGATTCCAATTATCAACGAATGTGTGTATAGATAATTCCTAATATATCAAAAAAACATCATCATTACATCGAAAATTCTTGCAGGAGGCATTTCTGATTTTAAAAAAAATCTCATATGTAAAGAATCATTTGGATCTTAATAAAGTTATTTTTTCTAAGATTGAAATAGCACTTTAAAGGAATGGATATCTGAAAAGCCTTATAAATTTTCATGAGTGTTTTCCAATATTATTTCAATGTCATTCTTATATTTATATTACTATTTACTTATAAAAATTAAGGCAGTAATGGAATCATCTACCTCATTCGAGATATTTAACTTGGCTTTATGGCCATTAAAGGGACTCCTTAATTTATCACTCTCTCAGATTCTGGCATAAATTAATCCCATTCCTATAATGTTTTCTCTTGGTTCTCTTTTTTTATTTATGTTGCCAGGTATTTCCCATTAAAAAAATCATACCACTATAATGCCTCTGATTGATTATTCCAACCAAATCGTACCACTTTAGGTTCTATTTCCTATTGAGTCTTGAGCTTTATTGCCCATTTCCCTTGATGAAAAGCAACTGGATGGATTATATAATTTTGAATTAACAACTACTTTTATGTTTAACCCTTGACATCAATATACCTGAGTATCTCTGTATATATCAATCCTTTACCTATTGCATCAGATCATATATCAAAAGCCTCTCCCCCCATCCCTTTAATACACCACTCTCTTTAAATGCACTACAACTCATTAATGAATTCTTATATTTATCGAGCATCTTGATATTTAAATTTATAATAAATCAAAATATAATTCAATCACACTAATTAAATCCTTTTTCAAATTATCTCTTATAAAATTTATTCTTTGTCAATATTGATCAGATATTGTAAAAGGTATTTTTAAGATAGAGCTCTTTGATACAGCTCCTTGCAACATACACAAATCTAAGCCAAAATAACCGATAACTCTTTATCCTTGAAATATAATGACATCAATTAATCATTTACTCTCTTGACTCTCAATTCCAAAAGATAACAGAATGCAGCATTCTTCTCATAATTTGATTTATTTTCATTTATCCTATATTTATTAACTGGTCAATTTTATAATATAGAATAAATTTTTCTATTAATTTTTGTAATTATGCCTAAGGACTGTAATTTATGAACAAAAAATATTGAATCCCTTAATATAACTTCAAAAATTTTATTTATTAAAAATTAATAACCCTAATATTTCTTTAAGAGCCTTATTCAAATTGTCTTAGATCTTCCATTTTATAGCAATTACTTTTTTATAATATTTAAATTATACAATTCTTTAATACCCTATACTCGGATTTAAAAATATCTAAGATACATAGGGATTCTTATGTTGATCGCTTTTCAATTTCATTTAATTTATCAACTAATTTATGCAATTCAAACTAGGTTCCAATTGTTTTTAATTGATTAGTTAAGACTCTATATTTGAATAATAAAGAATAAGCCTATAATAATAACTAAAAAATAATTTAGCTTTGAATTTCAATTTTATTAAAATAACTAAAATACGACAATATTTTATACTTATTTTATAAATTGGAAAATTCTCTCGAGTAATTCAGAATATATTCTAATTTATCTGTTGTTCTCGCATCTAATATTTATCAAAATAAATTACTTAAGTAACCTTTAAATAAGGAGATATCATCAACTACTATCTCAAAGTTCTCGAAGCAACTTGAAACTTGATTTAAATTAAGAATTAAATAGTCAGTTATACTNTGAATTTCATTCCCAATATATTTCTTTAGAATACAATATGAGTTTTCATCTATTTAAAAATGCTTTTAGGTGTAAATTAATCTAATTTTTTGATTCGAATTTAGAGAGTGAGACTTTGACTATTTACAAAAGCTCTCTTGTGAAACAAACTCATTTTATTTTAATTGGTTATTGGACAACTTCTAATCCATATCGAATTCTGTGAAGATTATTGCACAATCTTTTTTGGTTGGGTAAACCTAATAAATAGATACTTAAGGATTCCAATTATCAACGAATGTGTGTATAGATAATTCCTAATATATCAAAAAAACATCATCATTACATCGAAAATTCTTGCAGGAGGCATTTCTGATTTTAAAAAAAATCTCATATGTAAAGAATCATTTGGATCTTAATAAAGTTATTTTTTCTAAGATTGAAATAGCACTTTAAAGGAATGGATATCTGAAAAGCCTTATAAATTTTCATGAGTGTTTTCCAATATTATTTCAATGTCATTCTTATATTTATATTACTATTTACTTATAAAAATTAAGGCAGTAATGGAATCATCTACCTCATTCGAGATATTTAACTTGGCTTTATGGCCATTAAAGGGACTCCTTAATTTATCACTCTCTCAGATTCTGGCATAAATTAATCCCATTCCTATAATGTTTTCTCTTGGTTCTCTTTTTTTATTTATGTTGCCAGGTATTTCCCATTAAAAAAATCATACCACTATAATGCCTCTGATTGATTATTCCAACCAAATCGTACCACTTTAGGTTCTATTTCCTATTGAGTCTTGAGCTTTATTGCCCATTTCCCTTGATGAAAAGCAACTGGATGGATTATATAATTTTGAATTAACAACTACTTTTATGTTTAACCCTTGACATCAATATACCTGAGTATCTCTGTATATATCAATCCTTTACCTATTGCATCAGATCATATATCAAAAGCCTCTCCCCCCATCCCTTTAATACACCACTCTCTTTAAATGCACTACAACTCATTAATGAATTCTTATATTTATCGAGCATCTTGATATTTAAATTTATAATAAATCAAAATATAATTCAATCACACTAATTAAATCCTTTTTCAAATTATCTCTTATAAAATTTATTCTTTGTCAATATTGATCAGATATTGTAAAAGGTATTTTTAAGATAGAGCTCTTTGATACAGCTCCTTGCAACATACACAAATCTAAGCCAAAATAACCGATAACTCTTTATCCTTGAAATATAATGACATCAATTAATCATTTACTCTCTTGACTCTCAATTCCAAAAGATAACAGAATGCAGCATTCTTCTCATAATTTGATTTATTTTCATTTATCCTATATTTATTAACTGGTCAATTTTATAATATAGAATAAATTTTTCTATTAATTTTTGTAATTATGCCTAAGGACTGTAATTTATGAACAAAAAATATTGAATCCCTTAATATAACTTCAAAAATTTTATTTATTAAAAATTAATAACCCTAATATTTCTTTAAGAGCCTTATTCAAATTGTCTTAGATCTTCCATTTTATAGCAATTACTTTTTTATAATATTTAAATTATACAATTCTTTAATACCCTATACTCGGATTTAAAAATATCTAAGATACATAGGGATTCTTATGTTGATCGCTTTTCAATTTCATTTAATTTATCAACTAATTTATGCAATTCAAACTAGGTTCCAATTGTTTTTAATTGATTAGTTAAGACTCTATATTTGAATAATAAAGAATAAGCCTATAATAATAACTAAAAAATAATTTAGCTTTGAATTTCAATTTTATTAAAATAACTAAAATACGACAATATTTTATACTTATTTTATAAATTGGAAAATTCTCTCGAGTAATTCAGAATATATTCTAATTTATCTGTTGTTCTCGCATCTAATATTTATCAAAATAAATTACTTAAGTAACCTTTAAATAAGGAGATATCATCAACTACTATCTCAAAGTTCTCGAAGCAACTTGAAACTTGATTTAAATTAAGAATTAAATAGTCAGTTATACTNATCTATTTAAAAATGCTTTTAGGTGTAAATTAATCTAATTTTTTGATTCGAATTTAGAGAGTGAGACTTTGACTATTTACAAAAGCTCTCTTGTGAAACAAACTCATTTTATTTTAATTGGTTATTGGACAACTTCTAATCCATATCGAATTCTGTGAAGATTATTGCACAATCTTTTTTGGTTGGGTAAACCTAATAAATAGATACTTAAGGATTCCAATTATCAACGAATGTGTGTATAGATAATTCCTAATATATCAAAAAAACATCATCATTACATCGAAAATTCTTGCAGGAGGCATTTCTGATTTTAAAAAAAATCTCATATGTAAAGAATCATTTGGATCTTAATAAAGTTATTTTTTCTAAGATTGAAATAGCACTTTAAAGGAATGGATATCTGAAAAGCCTTATAAATTTTCATGAGTGTTTTCCAATATTATTTCAATGTCATTCTTATATTTATATTACTATTTACTTATAAAAATTAAGGCAGTAATGGAATCATCTACCTCATTCGAGATATTTAACTTGGCTTTATGGCCATTAAAGGGACTCCTTAATTTATCACTCTCTCAGATTCTGGCATAAATTAATCCCATTCCTATAATGTTTTCTCTTGGTTCTCTTTTTTTATTTATGTTGCCAGGTATTTCCCATTAAAAAAATCATACCACTATAATGCCTCTGATTGATTATTCCAACCAAATCGTACCACTTTAGGTTCTATTTCCTATTGAGTCTTGAGCTTTATTGCCCATTTCCCTTGATGAAAAGCAACTGGATGGATTATATAATTTTGAATTAACAACTACTTTTATGTTTAACCCTTGACATCAATATACCTGAGTATCTCTGTATATATCAATCCTTTACCTATTGCATCAGATCATATATCAAAAGCCTCTCCCCCCATCCCTTTAATACACCACTCTCTTTAAATGCACTACAACTCATTAATGAATTCTTATATTTATCGAGCATCTTGATATTTAAATTTATAATAAATCAAAATATAATTCAATCACACTAATTAAATCCTTTTTCAAATTATCTCTTATAAAATTTATTCTTTGTCAATATTGATCAGATATTGTAAAAGGTATTTTTAAGATAGAGCTCTTTGATACAGCTCCTTGCAACATACACAAATCTAAGCCAAAATAACCGATAACTCTTTATCCTTGAAATATAATGACATCAATTAATCATTTACTCTCTTGACTCTCAATTCCAAAAGATAACAGAATGCAGCATTCTTCTCATAATTTGATTTATTTTCATTTATCCTATATTTATTAACTGGTCAATTTTATAATATAGAATAAATTTTTCTATTAATTTTTGTAATTATGCCTAAGGACTGTAATTTATGAACAAAAAATATTGAATCCCTTAATATAACTTCAAAAATTTTATTTATTAAAAATTAATAACCCTAATATTTCTTTAAGAGCCTTATTCAAATTGTCTTAGATCTTCCATTTTATAGCAATTACTTTTTTATAATATTTAAATTATACAATTCTTTAATACCCTATACTCGGATTTAAAAATATCTAAGATACATAGGGATTCTTATGTTGATCGCTTTTCAATTTCATTTAATTTATCAACTAATTTATGCAATTCAAACTAGGTTCCAATTGTTTTTAATTGATTAGTTAAGACTCTATATTTGAATAATAAAGAATAAGCCTATAATAATAACTAAAAAATAATTTAGCTTTGAATTTCAATTTTATTAAAATAACTAAAATACGACAATATTTTATACTTATTTTATAAATTGGAAAATTCTCTCGAGTAATTCAGAATATATTCTAATTTATCTGTTGTTCTCGCATCTAATATTTATCAAAATAAATTACTTAAGTAACCTTTAAATAAGGAGATATCATCAACTACTATCTCAAAGTTCTCGAAGCAACTTGAAACTTGATTTAAATTAAGAATTAAATAGTCAGTTATACTGCAATAAAAATGGCTCATTTTACTTCAATTTGATTGCATAAAATGCCAAGTTTCTTAAAATTTAAACTTGTTTTTCAACCTTTCTTGAATTTATTTATAAATTGTGAAATAATTTCAATTTTAATTCTCTGTTTTATTTTTGTTATTTATTATAAAATATAATATTTCACTTGTCAATCTTTTTCTGTTATGCTATTCTAAAATGTCTAACTTGACTTTCCGGATTAATTTGATGTGAATAGAAATTAATTTGATTATGAACAAATTATTCTTTAAAGTATTCATCTGGCAGAGCAAAACACTTCTAAATTTAATTAAATATTACATTTATATAAGGTTTTAATACTTTTTGGAAAGTTTTTATATTTGAAAATGTAATTCATTCTCTTATTTTACTAAATTATTTTTCAAATTTTCCGATATATTTATTTATTTCTCAATCTTCTATTACGGAGAGTAGTAGAATTGTGTTATAAAATATTTAAAATTCTACTTCGAATTAGATTTTTTATAGTTTAAATTTGACAACAATACTAAAAAGATTTCTAATAGCATTTTTTAATAATAATCCCTTAAGGTAGAAATTACCATAGATTAAGTTTGGATAATTTTCCTTATTCTTATTCAATTCTTTTTGTATTAAATCAATATCTAGTTTTAAAAACTTTATAGCAGGCTTAATAGATATATAAATTTTTTGGATTCCCTTATCAGATCATTAAAATTTTTGAGCAAAAAAAGTATTTAAATAAGATTTAATCATAGATATATCTTTTTTTTAATCCATGTTTCTTTGTATCAATTTATTAATTTTTATTATAAATTAAGACTGTTTTCAGATTTAGGATATAATTTTATTGATTAAAAAATAATTCCATAATCTATTAAGTTTAGTTCTTTTCTTAATTTGTTTTTAAAGTCCACTTACCACCATAAATTTGTCTATTTTAAACTAACCTTATATAAAATTTACTGATTATTATAAAATAATAATAATTTCTCATTAAATTAGATATAGCCAAGTACTGGAGATTAATATTAAGTTATTAATTTTAAATTAATTTTTCCATAGGCTAAAAATATATCTCATATCCTTTAATCAAAATAATATGGTTTAACACATTACTCAAATGGTAATGATAATTAAGATCAATTTTTTCAAATTTAAAACATAATTAATATTATATTAATTTTATTTAATTTAACATAGTTTAGTTAACCATTGATTTAAGAGCATAAATTTAATATACTTAGTTTTTATGTTATCTTAATATTATAATTATATTTAATACTCTGTCTATCTAAATTCTAACAAACAAAATTGATCAATATAAGTATAATGTAAAATTTATATATCATTTAATTTGAAAACAATCCTCCAATTTTAATGAAAGAACCACAAAATCTATTAAAAATTTTAGTATAAACTAAAAAAATAATTATAGAACCTTTTGTGAATGAATTTTTCATTCATTACAACTAACCTCGAAAGAATTGAAATCTGTATTTTTGTTGATTGTTAACTTATTATTTTTATAAATTTAAAAAAAAATAGAAAATTTTTCTCAATTTTGTGAGACAACTTGAATTTCTCGATCGCTAAATAAGTTTTCTTCTTCTTTTGGTTCATTGTTTTCAGATTCTACTTGTTATTGCTATTATGCGCTTAACTCTTTTTCTAATACCTTCATTAATTCTGGGCCTAATAAAATAATTAATCTTTAATTGAATCGAACTTATTCTTAATTTTAATTTTCTTATTCTGAACCTGTTATTTTTTCATATGAACTTAGAAGATCAGTGAATTGTTTCATCATACCATAATCCTCAGCTGTTGACATTCCATCGATTATACATCTAAATATGATTACAAATTTTACCTAGTAGACCTTCTCTTACTTTTATCTTAAATTAAAGCTATTTTTGGCTTACGACTAAAATTAAAAAGGTTTATTTATTCAGATGTGAACAACACTTTTTTTAATTTTGTTAATTCATGAAGTTGTTTGATAATATACTCAATATCTAATTCTTTATTAACTTAATCACTTAAAATAATAAATAGTTTAGTACATTGCTCTTTGCAAAACTAGGCAATCATCATCTTTTAAAGATTCTATTGGAATAATAGAACTTAAAATAACTCGCAAGCCTAAACCTATTACATGTTTCTTTTTCAAAAATTCTTTAAAATCATCAAAATATTATAATGTTTTAGCTTTCATCGCTGATAATCTAGATTGTAATACTTATTGAGTATTTAAAAAGAGTTCTATTGACTATTTCTTATCAAAATTTAATCTCTTGGTTTAAAAAGGAGTAGCTGTTTACAACATCTCTGGTTTATTTTGAAAAGCTGTTATTGTTTGAATTTTTGGAATACTTTCAAACTTTTTTGTCATTTTGGTTTTCAACATTTCTTTACCTCTCTCAGTTCTAGCCAAGAGACTATTTAAATGCATTTAAGTATTTTATCTACCTGAACTCATATCAAATTCATATAAATCATTAGCAATAGATACAATCAAATGCTATCGATTATAAAATCTGACAATGATACCCACAACAACAATCATAAATTATGTAAATCCTCCTAAATAACTAAGTAATTCATCAAGTCTTAAAAACTTTCTGTTGATATAATAAGAATAAGGACTTCTTTAAAAATAAAATGCTCCATAATAATTTGGAGTTATTCTTGATATTTCAAATTATTCTCTTTAATCTCCATAATCTCTAAAAGCAAATGTTTCATTTTATTTATCAGGATACATTAATATTCCTTTATCTGTTGTAACTTTTTTAGTTCTAAAAAAAATGTCAGATTGAACAAACATTTTATCTGGAACAAAAGTATAAAATTGATCAACAGCTAGATAAGGTTAGACATAATCTTTAGGTCTATTTGGATTTATTAACTAAATTAAATTGAGAAATATACAAAATTTGTGGTATAAACTTAAAAACGAAAGCTTCCTTATTTATTTAATGTATTCTAAATTTCTTCTGAAGTCTTACATATGGGTTTCCAGGTAAAATTATTTTATGATGAGTCTCTACAATTAGTAATAGAAATTTTTAAGAAATAATAATCGCTACTTGCCCATACTCCTCCGACAGTCATATTAAGACTATGAACAAAGTTGAGATTAGGACACAAGAAATTTTATAAATTTTATTGTTCGAATTGTTCTCGAAAATCCACACTGTACTTTTGAAATAATGGTTAAAAATGCTTAAGAGTGCATGGTACTAAATCAATATATTTATTTGGGTAGCGAAATTATGTACCATTGGGTAAACGATTATAGTGACGCTATTCAACACTGATATTAAAAAAGGGATTAGTTGTAAAATTATCCTGTTCAATCTGAACTGCGAACATAAAGTGTTCCTGATCTAAGATCAAGGTATCAGGATCATCTGCGAAAGTAAATTCTTAGGTAGAAGTCACATTCAATTTTGCAAAAAAATTGATTATGTTTGAATAAAAAAAGCTGATAATTGTTCCAATGATACAAATTGATAAAAAACCTCCCATACTTGTTTTGTACTATTCTTCTTTACGAAAACTAAGGTTGATAGATTAACCAAATATATCTATTNTCAAATTCATATAAATCATTAGCAATAGATACAATCAAATGCTATCGATTATAAAATCTGACAATGATACCCACAACAACAATCATAAATTATGTAAATCCTCCTAAATAACTAAGTAATTCATCAAGTCTTAAAAACTTTCTGTTGATATAATAAGAATAAGGACTTCTTTAAAAATAAAATGCTCCATAATAATTTGGAGTTATTCTTGATATTTCAAATTATTCTCTTTAATCTCCATAATCTCTAAAAGCAAATGTTTCATTTTATTTATCAGGATACATTAATATTCCTTTATCTGTTGTAACTTTTTTAGTTCTAAAAAAAATGTCAGATTGAACAAACATTTTATCTGGAACAAAAGTATAAAATTGATCAACAGCTAGATAAGGTTAGACATAATCTTTAGGTCTATTTGGATTTATTAACTAAATTAAATTGAGAAATATACAAAATTTGTGGTATAAACTTAAAAACGAAAGCTTCCTTATTTATTTAATGTATTCTAAATTTCTTCTGAAGTCTTACATATGGGTTTCCAGGTAAAATTATTTTATGATGAGTCTCTACAATTAGTAATAGAAATTTTTAAGAAATAATAATCGCTACTTGCCCATACTCCTCCGACAGTCATATTAAGACTATGAACAAAGTTGAGATTAGGACACAAGAAATTTTATAAATTTTATTGTTCGAATTGTTCTCGAAAATCCACACTGTACTTTTGAAATAATGGTTAAAAATGCTTAAGAGTGCATGGTACTAAATCAATATATTTATTTGGGTAGCGAAATTATGTACCATTGGGTAAACGATTATAGTGACGCTATTCAACACTGATATTAAAAAAGGGATTAGTTGTAAAATTATCCTGTTCAATCTGAACTGCGAACATAAAGTGTTCCTGATCTAAGATCAAGGTATCAGGATCATCTGCGAAAGTAAATTCTTAGGTAGAAGTCACATTCAATTTTGCAAAAAAATTGATTATGTTTGAATAAAAAAAGCTGATAATTGTTCCAATGATACAAATTGATAAAAAACCTCCCATACTTGTTTTGTACTATTCTTCTTTACGAAAACTAAGGTTGATAGATTAACCAAATATATCTATTTATTTCAGGCCGTCTTTGAATTTCTAAAGCATTTATTTATTAATATTATTTGAAGATTGTAAAGAAATTACGACATCAAATAGTGCTTGTGTAATTAATATCTAAATCTCTTACAAAAAGATAATATTTGATAAATAATATTTCCATTGAATGTTTTATATAACACTTTTAACTTAAAAATTATTTGAAAATTAATAATATAATATTTATAAGGCTATTATCATACCAAATTTGTTGTTTTAAGATTCTTTAATCTCTTATGAGAAAAATTATCAGTTCTTTGTTTTTATCAAATTTTACTCAAAATTAAAATTTTATATTTAAAATAAATTAATAAATAATTATGAGAATATTAAAGCTAAAATTTGAGAATAGTTTAGATTTAAATATATGTTGTTTTCCAATAGAATACAAAACTTTGTTTGTAATTATTAATATTTTCCAATTTAATCTTTCTTCATTTTTTGTATTTAACGAAAACCAATCCCTTTTGTTTTTATTTATTAATTATTTGGAATGATATAAAATAATAGTCTTTAAATTGTTGAAAATGAAATCTCTTGTTAAGATATATTTTATAAGTTTATTCTCATTAATCTAGAGGTTCGTAATTTCAAAAAATCCTTTCACATTTTTATTAATGAGATTTTCCCTTAATAATAAGATTAGTTATTTTGCTTAAATTTTTCAATTTTTTCATTTATTCATTTTCTGTGATTAATTATTTCGATTGTCTCGTTGATTTTTATAACCCTTCTCTTCAATCTTCTAAATAAAATATAATTACAAAATTAATTTATTTTTCGTTAAAATTAAAATTTTTTTGAGATATCTAACTTTTTTAAATAATTATTTTCCTTTCTAGATAATCCCTTACAATGTAGATAATGATTTATTTAAAAATAAAATAGAACCATTTATGACCAGTTGTCAAAGTAAACCTATTATAAAGTAGTATTTTAAATTTATTAGTTTAAATTGCAATATTTAATCCAAAAAGGTGCCATTGTGATTAATCTGATGAATGTAGAATAAACTTCCAAAAAAATAATGACTATAAAAATGATTATTAATAAGTGTATATTAATTCTAAACATTTGTTAAGCGTATTTTGACTAATTTTATTTTGAATAATATAATGGATTAATAATTATATGAGTGTTTAATGAAAATGCAAAGTTTCTTTTCAAGTCCTCATAGTCAAATGGAGCCATAAATTGAATCTTGTTTATCAGGTAAGAGTGTTAATAAATTTAGAATTGAAAAAACATTTCAAAAAAAATTTCGATACTTGGGATTCAGAAAGTCCTAATTAATAATTGTACTATGACAAACTATAAGATCTTTGGAATAATTTCAAAAAGAAAAAAAATGGTCCATAAAATCTTCAATGGGCATAACAACAATTAAAAGAGATTATATCTGAATTTAATGAGATTGAAAATTATTAAAGTAGTGATCAAAGACAAGAAAACATAAATCTAAAAGGTGAAGTTAACATGTTGAGAATGCAATTAGATTGTTAGTAAAGAAAATAACAAAAAGAACAAATCGATGCTTAACATTTTTAGAGAGCGGCAGAAGAATTAAAAAATAAAACTTAAACGATCAAAAAATTATAAAAAGATGTTTAACGACTAGAAGAAAAACGTTAAGAAGATTAAAAGAGATTCTAAGAAATGATCCAAAATTTAAAAAAACATTAGTAAAACAAGCCTTTTGATGTCAAATAATTAGAAGAGGAGAATAAGAGATTAAAAAGCATGAATCTAGATTTAGAACAAGAAGTTTAAAATTTAAAAGAATAATTAAAAGGCAAAGACTTTTTAATATAGGACACAAGAGAATTAGTAAAAGCTAAAGAGGAAGTCTAAAAGTTATAAGTAGAAAATAGAGCTTTAGAAGATAAAATATAATAATTATATGATGTATAAATATATTCTATCATTTAGAAATTAAATTTAGGTAAATAAAATGAAATGGAAAATCAAATTACTTAATAGGATTTAAAAATGAAACAATTATCAACATAATTGTAAAAAGCAGGTGATGAAAATAAAATTATGTAGAAAAGAATTGATTAGCTTAAACAATAAAATTTAAAATATATTCAAAAAACACTAGAACCTTTTGGAATTCGAATATTAGATATTAAAGGAGTTTAATCTCATTTTAATGTTGTGATGCATTTATTAGAAACGATAACACCATTTTCAGCTGTTTTAACTGTAACAGATAAGGTAAGTTCATTTATTCTTAAATTTATTAACTATATTCGAAAAGAAGCAGAGTAAGTTATGCCTTAAACTGCTACATAATTGTAAGAATTATTAAGAATTGAATTATAAAATGATAATAGAGCAAATGATTTCTTATTTTAAATAATTGATCATCTCTCTAAAGCAATAATAAAATAAGATGAATAAAAATCATAAATAGCAACGATTATTCAAACTTAAGATTCACCAATATATGATCAATTTTTCTTTTTATAAAGAGTTTTTCCAATGGATTTAGAGAGTAAGAATAAAATTAAATTTATTTAGTTTAATAAAATGAAGTACCTTTGATAAATAGCATAAAACATATTCGATATTTTGAAGCAAATATGTAACCAGGAATTGAATTCTCAACATATTTACAAGGGTTGATAAAATTAGAAGGGTAAGAAAATATTATAGATGATAATGTTGGAGATTTTAATTTCTTAATTTTTCCTTAATATTTGATACTTAATGTTTGTGAATTGTCATTATAAAAGGCAGATATTAAAATATCTTTAAAGTTTCCATCAAGTTGTTTGAACTAAAATGCTTAAGATTTTGAATACTCATTGATATCAATGATTCATTGTAGTGATGGTCATGATGGATAATCTACATATTCGATAACATTATGCAAAAATAATAATTGGGTATAGATATAATGTGATAATGCAATGTCTATATAGATTAATGAATTGTTAACATTTAAATAACCTTACAATGATAAAGAACTATTAATTTACAAAAGATCAAAAAAATGAAATATAATTATATTTATTGGAAGACTATACATTATGAAATTAAAAAATCAAGATTCTTATAGGACCTTATTATAGTGTGTATTAAAACTATTAACTTTCCAATTGTTAACATCAACTTAATATTTTCCTACTCCAGGACTATATTATCTGCCAATATAAGCAAGTCTAGGTTATTGAGATTTGAAAGGTGCCGTAATCTATTTTTAACTTATAGGAGGAACTTAGTAATTATAAGAGGTTGGAACAACTTATATATCTGCATTTTCTTTAAATCTTGGTTGTCCACAATCAAAACCTGGTTTTAAAACATCTATTTTTTATAAATTTTAAATAAATTTTCTTTATTTATATATTCTATTTCCAATGCTATCTTAATCTAATCTATATTATCCAATATCTGGTCCAAAACTTTTATTAATTTAATCTCTTTTAGATGATGATTTAAAACATGAACTAACAGCTCTTTTTTTATCTCCTTTATTAATATCATAACTTCCAGGACCTGCTTAACATATTGATGGTATATCACAAAATCGTTTTTCTTTTCCTCCAAAATATCCATTTAGTCCTCTATCTTATTTCTTAATTAAATCTGAATATAAATCTTTTTAAATTTCATATGCACCTGGTCCAGGCTATTAATCTTCTAATAAAATTGGTTCTCCTTTTATAGATGTACTTAAAAATGTTGCATTCGTATAATTCTTTTTTCGAACTTATTAATCAAAAGAAGAATCTTAAATTCTATAGTCTCCAGGACCAACACTGTTTTCTTAAATTTATTAAAATCTCTCTAAAGAAGATCCAAAAAATTAAAACTCTTTTGGTTTTTGTTAAATTTTAATAGCTACTCTATTTTCATTATATTATCCAGGTCCTGGTGAATATTAATCTTTATAATTGATCTATTTTCTCAATCCAGCATTAATTTCTCTATTTGTTTTATAAATTAATTAATCATAATATGATCTAACAGATTCAGATAAAAATGCTGGAGATCCATTCCTTATTTTCTTATCTTCAATTATATTATATCTACCTGGACCAATTTCATTTGTTTACTCTTATTCAAATCTAGGTCTAGTGCTTTTATCCCAAGATAAACCTCTGTATTATTTTTGTTATTGTTATACATCATAGGTAGTTGGACCTACAACTTTTTATTTCTTTTACTCTTTCATAACTTTTTAATGCTAAGCTAATGTCTCTATATCATCATAAACCATTCCTATCTAAGACTTTCCCTCAGGAATTGAATTTATTCTTCTTCTTACATTTTAACTCCTAATATCATCGATCTTTTAATTCTAAAATAATGGTTGTCTATTTTAAGTATTTATTTATTATGTTTCATAATAACCAGGCCCAGGAATCTATTACATATATTATCACCATCTTTACTTCCTTAACTTTTTTATCTTCTTGAAATCTTTCTAATCCACTTTTAAATGCACTACTTCCATTCCCTTATACTTTAACTATTATTGTGCTTTTATTCATGTATGCCTATACTCCAGAATCCCCCATATTTATAGATATTTCATATTATCCTGGTCCTGGATTTAATATCTTTTATTTATTTGTCAGTTCTGTTTTTCTTTTACCAGTTGAAAGAAAAGGAGCATAGGCAACTCTTGTCTGAATTTCTGGTAATTAGTAAACTCCTGGGCCCAAGTGTGGATATGGATCCTTTATTTATGTTAATCCACGATCTTCTTCAAACAAAAATGCCATAATTTATTATAAATGCTGAAAAATTATATATTGCTTATATTACTAATATTTCCCTTATTTTATCTATTAAACTAAGTCCTTTTTTTATTAATCTCATTTATCTCTATCTTAACCATTATAATCAACTCGTTACATTAAAACTTTTAGATTTTTTATTTAAAATAATAATTAAGTTTTTCTAGCATCATCTTTCTTTACAAAAATTCATTATTTAATAGATTAATTTAAAATTAAGGCTCAAGATCTTTTTCTAAATTTACTATTTTCTATTTTTTCTTTTATTCTTAAATTTATTAATTTAATAATGTTTTTGAATGTTCAAAATATCTAATTAAAATCAAGCAGAAACCATATTTATTAATTCCAAAAGGTAATAATTTACTAAAATAAAAGGTTTAATAAATTATTATTATAAAATTTAATACAGAGGAATATGATCATTTCAATCTTTTGTTTTTTTAAATACAAATAATCATTCATTTATCGAACTTCCTTCCTATTTTATAAGAAATTTTTTATTTTTAAGCTTTAAGGCTTTGTAATTCCTACTATAAAACTGTCTGCTAATTTAATTTAGTTTTTCACATTTTAAAAATATGTAAAATTATAAATAACTTAGAGAAAAATTTGATAATAAAAATAAAAAGAAAAAGAAATCAAGTTGACTGTTGAAAATAATATTAATAATTTAATTATGCTTAAATTAAAAATCAAATAAAATAACGATTTTATTATTAGAAAAATATATAAAAAGCATTCATTCTCAGGAATTAAACTCAGTTAATTTATAAGAATTGAAGAATTAAATTTAGTAAATGTAAAAGGCATTCAATTTATTATACTATTTTTTTATAAAAAATACTTATTTGAGGATAAATTATTAAAAAATTTTAATAGAATTAGAAATAATCATTTTTTAATATGCAAGAGTTTTTGATGATAAAAAGACCATAAGCTTGGAAGCAATTTAAATTTAATTTAGGAAAACCAATAAAATGGGTGTCATAATTTTAAAAATAATCATCTTAATATTAAAGATTCGACTAAATATAAGAGCTAAATAAATATTAGATTATGGGCACATTTTCTTTGTTTTTTGTATTTATTTTCGCTTTAGGAAACCTCTTCAATAAATATAATATCTATCATTAGAAAGATTAAATGAATTAAATATCTGAAAATGATTTAGCTTAAATTATAACAGAAGTTAGTCGAGAGTAAAAAGATAAAAAAGAATTATATAAATCAGATNAATGCCATAATTTATTATAAATGCTGAAAAATTATATATTGCTTATATTACTAATATTTCCCTTATTTTATCTATTAAACTAAGTCCTTTTTTTATTAATCTCATTTATCTCTATCTTAACCATTATAATCAACTCGTTACATTAAAACTTTTAGATTTTTTATTTAAAATAATAATTAAGTTTTTCTAGCATCATCTTTCTTTACAAAAATTCATTATTTAATAGATTAATTTAAAATTAAGGCTCAAGATCTTTTTCTAAATTTACTATTTTCTATTTTTTCTTTTATTCTTAAATTTATTAATTTAATAATGTTTTTGAATGTTCAAAATATCTAATTAAAATCAAGCAGAAACCATATTTATTAATTCCAAAAGGTAATAATTTACTAAAATAAAAGGTTTAATAAATTATTATTATAAAATTTAATACAGAGGAATATGATCATTTCAATCTTTTGTTTTTTTAAATACAAATAATCATTCATTTATCGAACTTCCTTCCTATTTTATAAGAAATTTTTTATTTTTAAGCTTTAAGGCTTTGTAATTCCTACTATAAAACTGTCTGCTAATTTAATTTAGTTTTTCACATTTTAAAAATATGTAAAATTATAAATAACTTAGAGAAAAATTTGATAATAAAAATAAAAAGAAAAAGAAATCAAGTTGACTGTTGAAAATAATATTAATAATTTAATTATGCTTAAATTAAAAATCAAATAAAATAACGATTTTATTATTAGAAAAATATATAAAAAGCATTCATTCTCAGGAATTAAACTCAGTTAATTTATAAGAATTGAAGAATTAAATTTAGTAAATGTAAAAGGCATTCAATTTATTATACTATTTTTTTATAAAAAATACTTATTTGAGGATAAATTATTAAAAAATTTTAATAGAATTAGAAATAATCATTTTTTAATATGCAAGAGTTTTTGATGATAAAAAGACCATAAGCTTGGAAGCAATTTAAATTTAATTTAGGAAAACCAATAAAATGGGTGTCATAATTTTAAAAATAATCATCTTAATATTAAAGATTCGACTAAATATAAGAGCTAAATAAATATTAGATTATGGGCACATTTTCTTTGTTTTTTGTATTTATTTTCGCTTTAGGAAACCTCTTCAATAAATATAATATCTATCATTAGAAAGATTAAATGAATTAAATATCTGAAAATGATTTAGCTTAAATTATAACAGAAGTTAGTCGAGAGTAAAAAGATAAAAAAGAATTATATAAATCAGATTAAAATAGATTAGGCGCTACTGTAGAATAAATAAGTAATTCAGCTTTAAATATATCAGCTGTTCATCAAGATTAAATAAATGAAACATTATCAAATAATTCAGCTTAAAATATATTAGGTGATAGTCAAGATTAAATAGATGATACAAAATCAAATATTTTAACTAATAATCTAACAGATGTTAGTAAAGATGCTAGTAAAGATTAAATAGATGATACAAAATCAAAGATTACAACTTAAAATCTAACAGATGCTAGTCAAGATTAAAAAGATGATACAAAATCAAATATTTCAACTTAAAATCTAACAGATGCTAGTCAAAAATATCTGATCAATATTGACAAAGAATAAATTTTATAAGAGATAATTTGAAAAAGGATTTAATTAGTGTGATTGAATTATATTTTGATTTATTATAAATTTAAATATCAAGATGCTCGATAAATATAAGAATTCATTAATGAGTTGTAGTGCATTTAAAGAGAGTGGTGTATTAAAGGGATGGGGGGAGAGGCTTTTGATATATGATCTGATGCAATAGGTAAAGGATTGATATATACAGAGATACTCAGGTATATTGATGTCAAGGGTTAAACATAAAAGTAGTTGTTAATTCAAAATTATATAATCCATCCAGTTGCTTTTCATCAAGGGAAATGGGCAATAAAGCTCAAGACTCAATAGGAAATAGAACCTAAAGTGGTACGATTTGGTTGGAATAATCAATCAGAGGCATTATAGTGGTATGATTTTTTTAATGGGAAATACCTGGCAACATAAATAAAAAAAGAGAACCAAGAGAAAACATTATAGGAATGGGATTAATTTATGCCAGAATCTGAGAGAGTGATAAATTAAGGAGTCCCTTTAATGGCCATAAAGCCAAGTTAAATATCTCGAATGAGGTAGATGATTCCATTACTGCCTTAATTTTTATAAGTAAATAGTAATATAAATATAAGAATGACATTGAAATAATATTGGAAAACACTCATGAAAATTTATAAGGCTTTTCAGATATCCATTCCTTTAAAGTGCTATTTCAATCTTAGAAAAAATAACTTTATTAAGATCCAAATGATTCTTTACATATGAGATTTTTTTTAAAATCAGAAATGCCTCCTGCAAGAATTTTCGATGTAATGATGATGTTTTTTTGATATATTAGGAATTATCTATACACACATTCGTTGATAATTGGAATCCTTAAGTATCTATTTATTAGGTTTACCCAACCAAAAAAGATTGTGCAATAATCTTCACAGAATTCGATATGGATTAGAAGTTGTCCAATAACCAATTAAAATAAAATGAGTTTGTTTCACAAGAGAGCTTTTGTAAATAGTCAAAGTCTCACTCTCTAAATTCGAATCAAAAAATTAGATTAATTTACACCTAAAAGCATTTTTAAATAGATGAAAACTCATATTGTATTCTAAAGAAATATATTGGGAATGAAATTCATCATAATTAAATTGATAAGGATAGAGTTGAAGGTGCAGATAAATATAAAATCACACGATCTTGTGTTCTTATCTAAGCTCAACAAGAGGAAAAATTTAAAACTTAAATTATTGAAGATGTATACTTAGAATGTGAAAACAGAGAAAAAGGAGAAGAAGTTATGAAAAGGTTTCTTCTCAATTTTGAAAACATTGATAATCAAATCATCGAAGCTGATCATTATATTAAATAATAGACTGAACACGTACTCATTAAAAATGATGATGATGATATTGATAATTTATAGATATCCTTTATTCAATTAGTGCCTGAAGTACCAAGAATAACTTCAGAACAGCACTAACAATAATCACCTTAAGAATATATGGAAATATTAGATTTGGTTTAGAGAGGACATTTCATTTAAAAATCAATCTAGAGGTAATTTAATCAAAGTATTCTTTCTGGCTTAGACAAATTCTTGGGAACATCAAAAGAGGATGGTCATTTTTTACTGACTAAATACTATGAAGTAGATCCAAAAAAAGGAGGATTGATATATACAAATAAGAAATTAATAAGTGACCAAAGAAGTGTTTTATTGGATATCATCAAAAGGATGGGATCGAATTTATTGAGTGGGAAATCACTAATGTCAGTCTCATTACCTATCTAAGTATTTGAAGCTAGATCATTTCTAGAGAGAATGGCCAGAGCTTAAGGACATGCTCCTGTTTTTTTAGAAAAGGCTGCCTAAACTACAGATGTTTTCGAATAATTAAGACTAACTGTTGCATTTCACATATCAAGTTTCATGATGGGTGTTTAATAGGAAAAACCATTCAACCCAATAATTGGAGAAACATTCGAAGGTAGAATCAAAGGATGTCCTATCTATTTAGAATAAACTTCTCATCATCCTCCTATTTCTAATTACATTATGTATGGCAGAGATTATAAGTTATTTGGTGCATTCTGCCCTTTAGTTAACATGGGAACTAATAGTTTAGCTGGTGAATAATAAGGCCATTCCTAAATACATTATTTGAATACAAATCTCAAATTCTATTATATGGCATAACCATTTATGCTTTATGGTGTTTTGTTAGGCTAAAGAAGTGTCAATTGTCATAAACGGAGCTATTGTTTTTAGCCAGACAATTAGTTATTAGTTGAAATCACTTTTAATCCTAAAGATAAAAATGCTGGTTTCTTTAGTTCTTCTTCTTAAAAAATAGACTAGTTTATTGGAAAAGTTTGTAAAGTCACTCCTGAATGCATTTAAAAATGTTTAAAAGCTCACAAAACTAATTCAGGCATTAAATTAAAAATTTTACCTTAAGAAATTTTAGACACATACAAAATCAATATTTAGGGTAGATGGACTTCAATTTTACAATTTGATAATATTACTTATTGGGATATTGAAATTCATAAGTACTGATTATCACTTATTTAGACCTTATATTCTTGAGTTGGAATCAAATCCCTTGCCTTCTGATTCTCTCTATAGGTTGGACTTACTATATATGAAAATGAAAGAAATATCTAAGGCTTAAGATATTAAAGAAAAGTTGGAAGTTGATCAAAGAATGGAGACATTTCTGCTGTAAAAGATGTTGGTTATTATAAATAACTTTTTTTTCTAGATTAATTAGAATCTATAAAAGTAAAATACTATGAAAAATATATATTAAAAAAAGAAAGTTCTTTTTTTTTAAAGAAGTATTCAAGGAAAAACTCATTAATCAATCATGTATAATTTCTTTGCCTTATAATCCAATCATTTTTTCACTATTTTCCTAGCTAATTCTTTTTTAAATAACAAAAGAGATTCTTCAGTCATCTTGATATTCTATTTTTATATAATCTCTGTTTCTAAGTTTGACTTATCTTAATCTTTCATCAATTTTATTGATTCGAGAATCTAATTCCTAGTATAAATTTGTAAATCTTTCTAGAACATTAAATGGAAAATCCCGCGAATTCTTTTATTATATTATTAAAAATAATATTATTATTATAAACCCTATTTAAAGTATTTTTGAAAGTTTTATCCATATATATTAAGGCTAATTTACAATCTGTAATTTTCTTATTAAATAGATATTAAGATATCATTATAGAAGAAAATAATCATATTATTTGAGATGAACTATTATAACTGATATGCCCTCTCTTATATAAATTCCTAAAATAACTTACTTTAAGCAATAAAAGTTCAAGAAAGTAAAATTATCATTAATTTCAAAACAATTCTTTTGACTCATATTCTTGAAGTTAAAAAGACACTATAATTCTTTTATGAGTTATTGTTCTTGATAATATTGAAGATCTGGATCAATGCTTAAAGTTTTTTTCACTATAAGCAGTGCTGTAAGCTGAATTTTCATTAAATGCAAAAAAAAAATTATTTTTTATAATAAAAAAAAATTGAAGGATCAATTTTTTGTTAATATCATTCCTTAATTTTNTAAATAACTTAGAGAAAAATTGGGTAATAAAAATAAAAAGAAAAAGAAATCAAGTTGACTGTTGAAAATAAAATTAATAAATTAATTATGCTTAAATTTAAAAATCAAATAAAATAACGATTTTATTATTAGAAATATATAAAAAGCATTCATTTTCATGAATTAAACTCAGTTAATTTATAAGAATTGAAGAATTAAATTTAGTATGTAAAAGGCATTCAATTTATTATACTATTTTTTTATAAAAAATACTTATTTGAGGACAAATTATTAAAAAATTTTAATAGAATTAGAAATAATCATTTTTTAATATGCAAGAGTTTTTTTTGATGATAACAAGACCATAAAATTGGAAGCTATTTAAATTTAATTTAGGAAAACCAATAAAATGGGTGTCATAATTTTAAAAATAATCATCTTAATATTTAAGATTCGACTAAATATATGAGCTAAATAAATATTAGATTATGGGCACATTTTCTATTTTTATTGTATTTATTTTCGCTTTAAGAAACCTCTTCAATTAAGATAATATCTATCATTAGAAAGATTAAATGAATTAAATATCTGAAAATGATTTAGCTTAAAATATAACAGAAGTTAGTCGAGAGTAAAAAGATAAAAAAGAATTATATAAATCAGATTAAAATAGATTAGGCGCTATTGTAGAATAAATAAGTAATTCAGCTTTAAATATATCAGCTGTTCATCAAGATTAAATAAATGAAACATTATAAAATAATTCAGCTTAAAATATATTAGGTGATAGTCAAGATTAAATAGATGATACAAAATCAAATATTTTAACTAATAATCTAACAGATGTTAGTAAAGATGCTAGTAAAGATTAAATAGATGATACAAAATCAAAGATTACAACTTAAAATCTAACAGATGCTAGTCAAGATTAAAAAGATGATACAAAATCAAATATTTCAACTTAAAATCTAACAGATGCTAGTCAAGATTAAATAGATCGTACATAATCAAAGATTACAACTTAAAATCTAACAGATGCTAGTCAAGATTAATAAAGTCTAAGTCGATACTAAATAGATGTTAAAATAATTTAAGATAATTAAAATTAAGATATTAATAATATTTAGTATGAGATTTAGACATCTAACATTAATGAAATCCCTTAAGAAAACCCAGGTAAAATGGAAAGTAAAGAATGGATGAGAATAATCAGAGAAACGTAATTAAAACAAATGAATTTATGTATGAATGGAAATCAAGATGAAATGATTAAAGTCTAAAATAAAAATTAGATAAATAATCAAAATTAGATAGATGGTGAAAATGATCGAAATAATCAAATGGAAATTAAAAAAGATAACTAAATCGGATTAAATAATCCTAATCAATCTCAAAAAGATAATGAAGCCAAACCTAAAGATTAAATAAATAATGAAAACAGTAATGTTGACCAATAACTATAATAAAATCAAGAAAATTAAAATGAAATAACAAATTAGAATGTTCAAATAGATGATGAAAACAGTAATGTTGACCAATAACAATAAAAAATTCAATAAAATTCAAATGAAATAAGAAATTAGAATTTTCAAATAGTTAATGAAAACAGTAATGTTGATCAATAACAATAAGAAAATCAAGAAAATCAAGAAAATTAAAATTAAATAAGAAATTAGAATGGTCAAAAAGATAATGAAAACAGTAATGTTGATCAATAACAATAAGAAAATCAAGAAAATTAAAATGAAATAAGCAATTAGAATGTTCAAATAGATAATTAAAATGATAAAGTTCTCCCCAAACCATCAAATTAAGACAAGGAAGATCCTCTAATACCTGAATAATTTCTTGATATTCCATAAAATCCTTCAAGGCCAGACAAATAAAATTACCCTTAACAAGTTACTTTACCAAAAGAAATGGAAGTAATAAAATAAATTATAGATGGATCATCTAAAAAGAGACATGTTGACTAAAACATGAAAAGTTACTTAAGAGATGTTCAAAATGAATAGGAACTATTTAAACACTACTCTATTAAAGCATTAGGAAAAAAACATGAATTAAAACTACATTGCAATCTAATCATTCCTGTAAGAGGAGATGGCAATTGTTTCTACACTTCATTTGGGTATCAACTTTTAAGAATTGTTATTTATGAATATACTGATGAAGAATTTAATTAATTTCTAAATTAATATTTCTAAATATCTTTTAATATTTAATTTAACCAAATTAAAATACCAAATGAGATGCAATAGAAATTATTGAATCACTACAAGGATAGATTAATCTATATAAGAAATTTAGAAAAAAATTATATAAATAATGAATACTATTAGTAATAATTAAAAATGCATTTTTCAGCATTTGAATTATAAGATACTAATGAAGGATTTGTTGATGGATATTTCAATCCATTAACAGTAATATTTTTGAGAAATTTATGTTTACATTTAGTTGAAACAGATTAAGATGAATAAAATAATCTTGTTGAAAAAGAAACATTATTGAAATGGGAGGAAGAATGCAATCAAAATGAGGTAGTGATTAATTTATTAGCAAAACATTTAAAAATGTATAAAATTTATGTAAATAATTAGACACATAAAATTAATATTTTTTGAAAAAGGTACATTTATAGTTAATGAATATTCCAAAGAGTATGAAAATGAAAAAAGGAGAATAATTTTGCTTCTATAGCCAGGACATTATAATGTCGGCATTAAAGTGTGACATTAAATAATAAATTTATATTATTAATAAAAAAATTATAATGAATGAAATGGAATGTAAAGAACCTCAGAGGAGGAGAGTGCCACCTCCAGTTCCAAAATTTAGGCCTTAGCCAGTTGAAAATGCATAGATTAATGTAGCTATGCAAAATTTTTTTGCTGAAATATAATAAGAAGTGGAGCCTACATAAATAGGAGAAGCAGCTCCTTAAAATAGTATAGCAAATCCAGTTTAATAAACTCAGAATTAACAAGTTTAATAGCAATAACAATAAGCATAATAGTAACCAGCTAGTAAAGTAAATATTTAGTAAAATATAGGACTTATCCCATTTAAATAATAAACTGAGCAATATTCTTCGTGTTTGCAAAAACACTACTATGTTGACTCCTATAGTGAATAAGCCTCAAGAGTATGATCCAAGTAGGCCAAATGATTATGAAGAATTGAAAAGATAGATGAGTTAATCAGATACATAAAATGAGCAGCCATAGTAATAATAAATAGAAGAAGAGACAGAGCCATCTTATGATGAAGTAGAGTTAGGATCTGGAGAAGAGAAAGCCTTAAAAATGATGGAGAAATTTGGTTATAAGTTTGGTTTAGGATTGGGGAAATACAATTAGGGAATATAGAATCCAATAGAGGTTATAAAGACTTCAAATAGTGTAGGAGTGATTGAAGTCAGCTCATTAGATTTTACAGATTTACTTCCATAAAATGTTGTATTTAGAAAAACTTTTGAATAGCATAAATAGTATAGGAATATTGATTGTTAGATAGCCCACAAATATATTAGTGTTATTGAATGCTATAACTGCAAAGAATGTAGATGAATACTTTAAAGATGAAATAAAGGCAGAGTTAGGAAAGTATGGATATATAAAGAAAATTCATGTTCATGTCCGAGCAGAATTGGAAGAAGATTTACAAGTGAGAGTGTTTATTGAATATGCAAAGTATGAAATATGGATAATAATAGTAATGAGGAGGCAATGGCTGCATTTTTGGCAGCAGATTAGAGAGTATTTGGAGGAAGAATAATGACATGTCGATTCTATTCAAATGACAATTTTAATGATGGACTATTTGATGTTGAATTATGAGTATTAATATTAATTGTTTGCACAAATACTAACCTGAATATGATTTAAAGGATTTAATTTAAAATCTAAAAATTCTTAACATTTTTGTGTATGGCTTAGAAAACAGACTTTACAAATGGTATAGAGTGAAATTTAATGAATAGTTGTCGAAAGACCCGATTTCCCTTAAGAGGAAGTCAGAATATTAAAATATTGGGAATAGATCAATGCTTTCCATAAATAATTAGAATTAACAAAGGATTGTCCTAGATTTACGTTTTATGATGGACCTCCATTTGCTACAGGTTTACCTCATTATGGTCATATGTGTGCTGGTACAATAAAAGTAAATATAATAATTTAAATAAATTTAGGATGTTGTTTGTAGATATTTTGCAATGAATGGAAGATATGTAGAGAGAAGGTTTGGATGGGATTGTCATGGATTACCAGTCGAACATGAAATAGATAAAACTTTAAAAATTTAACATAGGGGCGATATTTTAAAAGTAAAGATAGTAATTTATATGTTTAGATGGGTATTGATAAATATAATCATGAATGCAGATCTATAGTAATGAGATATGCATCAGAATGGAGAAGAATAATTGGAAGAACAGGAAGATGGATTGATTTTGATAATGATTACAAAACATTAGATAAATCTTTTATGGAGAGTGTTTGGTGGGCCTTTAAAGAAATGTGGTAGAAAGGATTGGTATACAGAGGATGTAAAGTTATGCCATATTCAAATGGTTGTTCTACAGTCCTTAGTAACTTTGAGACCTAATAGAATTATAAGGAAGTATGGGATCCTGCCATTGTAGTAACTTTCCCTTTGGTTACTGATGAGACAACCAAATTTGTAGCTTGGACAACTACTCCTTGGACATTGCCTAGCAATTTAGCTTTGGCTGTTCATCCAGATTTAGATTATGTAAAATTATTAGATAAAGCATCTAATACTCATTATATCTTAGCATAATCAAGAATTGTTGAATTATATTAAGATGAGAAATAATATGAGATAGTTTAGAAATTCAAAGGTTCTGAATTAGTTGGAATTGAATATGTTCCATTATTTAATTATTTTTTGGAAAGAAGAGAATAAGGATGTTATAGAGTCTTAGCTGCTAATTTTGTTACTAGTAATGATGGTACTGGTATTGTACATTGTGCACCTGGATTTGGTGATGACGATTATAAGGCTTGTTTAAAAGTTGCTATTATTAATCCATCAGATCCTTTAGTACCAATCGATTCTAGTGGAAGATTCTTAGAATCAGTTAAAGATTTCTCAGGAATGCATGTTAAAGATGCAGATAAAGAAATTAGAAAAGTACTTAAAAACAATGGAAGATTAATTAAAGATGGATAAGTCAAACATAATTATCCATATTGTTGGAGATCTTAAACTCCTTTAATTTACAAAGCCGTTAACTGTTGGTTTATTAAAGTAACTGCTATTAAAGATAAACTTGTTGTTAACAATAAGAAGGCTAGATGGGTACCATCTTCAATTCAAGAGGGAAGATTTAACAATTGGTTAGATGATGCATAAGATTGGTGCTTCAGTAGAAATAGATTTTGGGGAAATCCTATTCCAATTTGGGTGAGTGATGATTTTGAAGAAATGGTTTGTGTAGGATCTATTGAAGAATTAAAACAGCTTTCTGGTGTTGAAAATATCACAGATCTTCATAGAGAATTCATTGATCACATTACTATTCCAAGTAAGTAAGGAAAGGGTTAATTAAGAAGAATAGAAGAAGTTTTTGATTGTTGGTTTGAAAGTGGAGCTATGCCTTTCGCTTAATAACATTATCCATTTGAAAGAAAAGATTTATTTGAAACCATTTTCCCAGCCGATTTCATTGCTGAAGGTTTAGATTAAACAAGAGGTTGGTTTTATACATTAAATGTTATATCTACAGCTTTACGTGACGATACTCCTTACAAAAATTTAATAGTTAATGGAATTGTATTAAATGATAAGGGTGAAAAGATGTCTAAAAGTAAAAAAAATTATCCAGATCCTGAATAAGAAATCATTAATGTTTTTGGTGCTGATGCTATGAGATTGTATCTTATAAATAGTGGATTGGTTAAAGCTTAACCATTAAATTTCAGCAAAGATGGAGTTTAAGAAGTTATTAAGAATGTGTTTTTACCATGGTATAATGCTTATAGATTTTTGATTTAAAATTTATAAAGATATGAAAATGTTATAGGCAAATTTGAATTTGATGAAAATGCTATTACAAAAGGTGATAATACTATGGATAAGTGGATTGTTTCAAGCAGCTAAACATTAGTTGAATTTGTAAGAAATGAAATGGAATCATACAGACTTTATACTATAGTACCAAGATTAATTAGTTATTTAGATACATTAACTAATTGGTATGTCAGATTAAATAGAAGTAGACTCAAGGGAGATTAAGGAAATTAAGAATGGATAGTCAGTTTAAATATATTATTTGATGTACTCTTAAAAATCACTCTTTTGATGTCTCCATATGTTCCCTTCATTACAGAATCATTCTATCAAAATCTTAAGAAATGTATTCCATAAGGAAAAAATAATCAAGAATCAATTCATTTTCTTTAAATTCCTGAAGTTAGAAAAGAATTGATTGATCCAAAAATTGAATCTTAAGTTGAAAAAATGCAAATTGTAGTTGAAGCTGCTAGAAAATTAAGAGAAGCTCATAAATTAAGTCTTAAATAACCAGTCAATAGTCTAACAATTCTAGCTTCAGATGAATAGTTACTTTTAAGTGTTTAATTCTTATCAAAATATATTGAAGAAGAAATTAATACTCCTTCTGTTTTGGTTGAAAAAAATATTGAATAATATATTCAACTTAAAGCTGAACCTGATAATAAAATATGTGGATAAGATTTAAAAGATAAATTTGGACCAGATCTTATCCAATAAGTACGTAATTTCACATAAGAATAAATCCGTACTCTCAAAACAGATGGTAAATTGTAACTCAAAGTAAAAGTCAAGAAAGAAAAGAAAGTTGAAGAATAAGTATAATAATAACCAGATCCTAAAGCTAAAAAAGGCAAAAAGAATGTTGAATATATCGAAGTCGAAATGGATTGTGAATTATTAGTAAAACATGTCAAAATTACTGATTAATTCAACACTGAAAAACATAAATAACTTCTCTTTGCTCCTCAAGATGGATTCTCTATTATTTTAGATCCCTCATAAACTTAATAACTTAAGAATCTTGGATTTGCAAGAGAATTCACCAATAGAATTTAAAAATTAAGAAAGAAGTTGGGTTTGTAATTAGAAGACAAAATCATTGTCTTCTATTAATTTGAAGCTGAATCTGAATTATCAAATGCAGTTCAATCAGAAATTGCTTGGATCAGAAACCAAATCAAAAAACCCATATTTTCATCTGTTTATTAACATAAATACTTAAACTTTATCTGTAAAGAAGATGCTGACGTAGAGAATCATAAATTTACCATTTCTATTGCCAAGAACTCTCCTATCTTTTACTCTTAAAAATTATTGGTAATCTTTTATTATTATTTTTTAGGAATAATACAGTGAAAAGGAAGTAGATACAATTATAAGAACATTAGTAATCTTACCTAATTTATAATAAAATATTGAATTTACGTTAGATGGTAAAAAAATTGCACTTGGCCCTGAACATTATACAATTTAATGATGAGTATATAATAAAAAGATTTAACATTATTGTTTTCATTAAAGTAAGATTACATAATACAGATGAAGCCAATTTTTAAGCTTCTTCATTTCCATTTACTTTTATACAATATAAGAGGCTTAATACTCATTTTTTTTCTTGAATTGTAAGTCAATGACTTTACTTAATTTAATTAATATTTAAATATTGACAAAATAGAAAATGAAAATTTTTACATTTTATATATAAAATATATAAAACTGTAAAGTTTATTCAAGTTCTTTATTTTGAGACATTTTATTTCTCGTTCAATTTGTAAAACTGATCGATTCTGTATCTAATTGTATTTGATTAAAGAAATTAAGATCTAAATTATTGCTAAAATTTTAAATATAAAGTTTATATTTTATTTAATGGCTTAAATTGATAAGGAGACAGAAAAAACATATTATGAATAAGATGAAGAAGAAACATAATAAAAAGAGATACTCGATGATCCTGAATATGCTTATGAAGACAGGAGATCAAAAAGAGAATATCGATAAACTAGAATCAAAGATAAAGAAGATAGAGCTACAGTAGAATAATGCTTAGATCCAAGAACAAGAGTTATTTTAATGAAAATGATAAATAATAAATTCCTAAAAGAAATAAATGGATGTATATCAACAGGTAAAGAGGCAAATGTTTATCATGGTTGGGATTTCAATAATCTAGAATATGCAATTAAAGTTTATAAGACTTCAATTTTAGTATTTAAAGATAGAGATAAATATGTATCTGGTGAATTTCGCTTCAGAAATGGTCATTGTAAATCAAATCCAAGAAAAATGGTAAGATTATGGGCTGAAAAAGAACTTAGAAATTATAAAAGAATATTTCAATCATCAATACCATGTCCTGAACCTATTTTAGTTAAAAGTAATATTATAGTGATGAGATTTATTGGTGAGGATATGACACCTGCTCCTAGATTAAAAGATGCTACTGATGTTCTTTATGAAGATGCTTACACTCAAGTTGTTAAATGCATGAGAATTTTATATTAAGAATGTAAATTAATACATGGTGATTTGAGTGAATACAACTTATTATATTATAAGAATAAGGTTTACTTTATTGATGTATCGTAAAGTATGGAAAGTGATCATCATAGTGCATCTGAATTTTTGAAAAGAGATATTTTTAATATAAATCAATATTTCAAGAAAAAAGTACAAATATATCATAATTTTAGGGTATAATGACATATACTTTGAGATAATTATATAAATTTATAACTGATTAACATATTCAAAATATAAATGAAGAATTAGAAAGAATGTAAGAAGAGAGAGAATAAATCAATGAAGATTTGGAAGAAGAATAAGATAAAGTTTTTGTAGGGGCAATTCAGCCAAAAAATTTAAATGATTTACCTCAAAAAATTATAGAATCTGAATTGAATTCTTTTAAAAAAGGAGGTGAAAGTATAGGAAAAACAATTGCTGATTTTTAAAATGCAAATTTAGAAATTTAAAAATAAAATGATGAATTTGACTAAAATGAAGATTCAAATGATGATGATGAGGAAGTAAATAAAGAAGATGAAGATTGTTAATCAGATTCTTCATCTGATGTATCTTTATTAAGNCTAATTGTATTTGATTAAAGAAATTAAGATCTAAATTATTGCTAAAATTTTAAATATAAAGTTTATATTTTATTTAATGGCTTAAATTGATAAGGAGACAGAAAAAACATATTATGAATAAGATGAAGAAGAAACATAATAAAAAGAGATACTCGATGATCCTGAATATGCTTATGAAGACAGGAGATCAAAAAGAGAATATCGATAAACTAGAATCAAAGATAAAGAAGATAGAGCTACAGTAGAATAATGCTTAGATCCAAGAACAAGAGTTATTTTAATGAAAATGATAAATAATAAATTCCTAAAAGAAATAAATGGATGTATATCAACAGGTAAAGAGGCAAATGTTTATCATGGTTGGGATTTCAATAATCTAGAATATGCAATTAAAGTTTATAAGACTTCAATTTTAGTATTTAAAGATAGAGATAAATATGTATCTGGTGAATTTCGCTTCAGAAATGGTCATTGTAAATCAAATCCAAGAAAAATGGTAAGATTATGGGCTGAAAAAGAACTTAGAAATTATAAAAGAATATTTCAATCATCAATACCATGTCCTGAACCTATTTTAGTTAAAAGTAATATTATAGTGATGAGATTTATTGGTGAGGATATGACACCTGCTCCTAGATTAAAAGATGCTACTGATGTTCTTTATGAAGATGCTTACACTCAAGTTGTTAAATGCATGAGAATTTTATATTAAGAATGTAAATTAATACATGGTGATTTGAGTGAATACAACTTATTATATTATAAGAATAAGGTTTACTTTATTGATGTATCGTAAAGTATGGAAAGTGATCATCATAGTGCATCTGAATTTTTGAAAAGAGATATTTTTAATATAAATCAATATTTCAAGAAAAAAGTACAAATATATCATAATTTTAGGGTATAATGACATATACTTTGAGATAATTATATAAATTTATAACTGATTAACATATTCAAAATATAAATGAAGAATTAGAAAGAATGTAAGAAGAGAGAGAATAAATCAATGAAGATTTGGAAGAAGAATAAGATAAAGTTTTTGTAGGGGCAATTCAGCCAAAAAATTTAAATGATTTACCTCAAAAAATTATAGAATCTGAATTGAATTCTTTTAAAAAAGGAGGTGAAAGTATAGGAAAAACAATTGCTGATTTTTAAAATGCAAATTTAGAAATTTAAAAATAAAATGATGAATTTGACTAAAATGAAGATTCAAATGATGATGATGAGGAAGTAAATAAAGAAGATGAAGATTGTTAATCAGATTCTTCATCTGATGTATCTTTATTAAGCGATAATGAAGATTAAGATGAGGAACCAGAAAATTAAATTGTAGATAACGAAAAAAAAAAAAAAGGTGGATTATGTAAATATGAGGGACTTACAAAATAAGAAAGAAAATAAAAAGTTAAAGAAGAAAAAAGAGAGAAAAGAAAAACTAAACTTCCTAAAAATATTAAAAAAATACTCACAAAAAAATAAAGATGATGATATTGTTTAACAAAATTTTTCATTTCCTTCAAGCTAAAAATATATTTATTTTAATTAATTTATTAGAGCTTTCCAGATGATTTCTTAAAAACTTCATATAAAAATATGCAAAATATAAATTAATTATCTGCTCGTATATAATAGAGCATTTCTAAGTAACTTTCAACATAAACAGATTAAACTGGTAGTCAAATCTTACTGAATTCTGACACTTAAAAATTGTTGAAATAAATTTACTTCATCAAAGAATGTGATAAAAAAAAAAAAAAATCAAAATTTATGGCTGCTAAGAAAGAATTATAATTTGAATATCTGTCTGAGCCAAAATAAATCGATATTAAGTAGTTTATTTAAAAAGAACATTCATACGAATAAAAAAAAAGGATTTCTGTTGATAGTGCTAATCAAGGTAGTTAAACATGGAGAATCGAGAGATAGATGAGATAAAGCCTCAACTTTAAGGATCTGCACAAGTTAGATGAGTCAATTGCAATTGATATACTTAATAGGCAAATGGGATAAACTGAAACCAATTTTTATGAATATAAACCCAAATCTTAAAGGAGAACGAGGAGTCAATAAGTTAATAAAAGAGATATTATGAATTTATCTAGCACTCCATTCCATATTCCAAAAACTAAGAATAAATTAAATAAAACTGCTTGTGACTTTAAAATATCGAACAAAGATTAAGTATTATATAAATTGCCTGTTTCCAATATAGGAATACCAATTATTAAAACTTAAAGAAGTATGAGAAAATCTCATTATCATTACCCTTTTTCAACTATGAATAATTTTAATTATAGCAGATTAAATAAATCATTGTGGGTATCCAATTTATGAATTTACTTATGAAGCATTTATTAATATTTTTAAATTAAATTTTTATTATATTATAATCGTTTTATAGACATAAAGAATAACACATGCTAATGTAATCAATTAATAAAAATATCCTTTAGTTGAGAAGAATTAAAATTCACAATTCAAAAAAAGTAAAAGTACTTATTTATTTATTAAAAAAATTGAATTGTTTTTATAATTATATTTTTATGATTGTTTCATTCAATTTTCGGAATACCAATATTATAATGTCCTGGTTTTAATAATAAAATAATTTTATAATTAGAACCTTAATTATAACTCCTTTATGCTAAATGCTCTTAATCAATAAAGAAAACTTAAATATGACTTAAAATAAAATAAATTATTACATATTTAAATAAGTAGCTAATTAAGAAATTACTATTTCATTATCATTACATTCAACTTCCCATTTTAAAAGTACATCTTTTTCTAAGAAGATATCTTTTTATTCACTTTATTCAATTATATATAAACTTAAATTTCTAAAGAAAATAGTTGATAAAGCATAAAAACATCCATCAATTAATTATTCTTCTTCTTCTTATTCATAAGCTTGAAAATGTTTAATTAATTTATTTTATCTATCCTATTTATCTTTTATATTTCTAATTAAATTTATTCTAAAAAGAAACTCTTCTTTTAATTAACTTTATAATTTTTCATCTTCTAAATTAATATTTTCATATTGAATTTTAAAACTAATATTATTCAATATATTATTAATAAACTAATTATATTAATTCTAATCAAATTTAATAATTA